CCTCCATTTTTGCACTCAGGTCTAAGTCTCATGGCCCTCTATCAGAATTTGGGAAGATTGGAGAAACTTAATTTTTCGCCCAAAAAAAAAAACGTAAGGGGTACCACTGTCGTTTTTTTTTTCGGGCCGAATTTTTGAGTTTCGATATCTCAGCTCTGGAAGGGGCTAGAGCCTCCATTTTTGCACTCAGGTCTAAGTCTCATGGCCCTCTATCAGAATTTGGGAAGATTGGAGAGAAACTTAATTTTTCGCCCAAAAAAAAAACGTAAGGGGTACCACTGTCGTTTTTTTTTTCGGGCCGAATTTTTGAGTTTCGATATCTCAGCTCTGGAAGGGGCTAGAGCCTCCATTTTTGCACTCAGGTCTAAGTCTCATGGCCCTCTATCAGAATTTGGGAAGATTGGAGAAACTTAATTTTTCGCCCAAAAAAAAAAAACGTAAGGGGTACCACTGTCGTTTTTTTTTTCGGGCCGAATTTTTGAGTTTCGATATCTCAGCTCTGGAAGGGGCTAGAGCCTCCATTTTTGCACTCAGGTCTAAGTCTCATGGCCCTCTATCAGAATTTGGGAAGATTGGAGAAACTTAATTTTTCCGCCCAAAAAAAACGTAAGGGTACCACTGTCGTTTTTTTTTTCGGGCCGAATTTTTGAGTTTCGATATCTCAGCTCTGGAAGGGGCTAGAGCCTCCATTTTTGCACTCAGGTCTAAGTCTCATGGCCCTCTATCAGAATTTTGGGAAGATTGGAGAAACTTAATTTTTCGCCCAAAAAAAAAAAAACGTAAGGTACCACTGTCGTTTTTTTTTCGGGCGAATTTTTGAGTTTCGATATCTCAGCTCTGGAAGGGGCTAGAGCCTCCATTTTTGCACTCAGGTCTAAGTCTCATGGCCCTCTATCAGAATTTGGGAAGATTGGAGAGAAACTTAATTTTTCGCCCAAAAAAAAAACGTAAGGGGTACCACTGTCGTTTTTTTTTTCGGGCCGAATTTTTGAGTTTCGATATCTCAGCTCTGGAAGGGGCTAGAGCCTCCATTTTTGCACTCAGGTCTAAGTCTCATGGCCCTCTATCAGAATTTTGGAAGATTGGAGAAACTTAAATTTTTCGCCCAAAAAAAAAACGTAAGGGTACCACTGTCGTTTTTTTTTTTCGGGCCGAATTTTTGAGTTTCGATATCTCAGCTCTGGGAAGGGGCTAGAGCCTCCATTTTTGCACTCAGGTCTAAGTCTCATGGCCCTCTAATCAGAATTTG